CTGGTTTCCCCCCCCCCCCAATCATTATTAAACAACATTTGCTCCTTATCAGATCAAGTAATAAACAAAACCAAAGCAAAACAAAGTAGAGGTGGCCTCTCCCCTGCAGCAGTGCCATTTCCTGGTCCACCTCCAAACTCATTAGTGCCTGGATCTCTCTTGCCACACAGATGCTCACAGTCAGCGGGTTCAGAAAACCCCAGCCCAAGCTGAGAGGAGTCGCTGTGTGATGGCAGCCCGGTGACCTGGGATGGCCACATCACAAGCCACCACCGCAGCTGACACACCTGAGTTTTGGCTCCGTCCTGGAGCTGTAATAATAAACTGAGCGCCCCTGTCCTTCACACTTGTTCTTCAAGACCAGGCTCAAGGCACTCTCGGACTGAAGGTGTATGGGACAACCCGTCTCTTGAGGGTTGTCCCATACAGTCAGTGTTGCTCTTTTTATTTGGGGAAAAAATTTCCATTTCTGGGGCTAGTGGATGAGCAGCATCTGACAGCACTGAGGGCCCAGAGCTCAGGAACGGGTGGAAGAGCCTCCTGACAAATTCAAATACCTCACTATGGCCCAGCCCTCATCTTAAAATTAGGACCGTGTCTGAAAATCCTCCTAAATGGGGAAAGGTTGTGGATTTAGAGGTGAGGGTGTTGTAACAGCTTCCCAGTTCAGTGACACCACCTCACAGCACAGAGGAGAAACCACCACCTCTCCCCCTCCAAGCTCCTCCAACCCTGCCCAAGGCAACCAGGTTATGGTGATGCTACACGAGTTGGGAGATCCCATCCGAGGAGCTTTAGGACTTTCTCATCTCCCTGTCACCAGAAAGCGAATGCAGCAGCAGAGCTTTGGCTTAACCTTCAGCTCCCAAGGGCTCTCTGTTCCCCCACCTCCTGGGGGGCCGTGCGGGTGAGAACAGCGGGGCTGCACGACGCGGGGCCTGTCGTCAGCCCGGCTTTTCTGCCTGTCTCTCCCCATGCTCAAACTCTGGACCAGGGCCAGCAACAACAATGAGTTCATCTCCCAGGCAGTCACTGGCTGCTTGCAAAGCCCGATTATATCTCGCTCGCTCTGCAAGAAGGGCTCTGGATTTAGCTTTATGAAAATAAGCTCGGGAGTTTATGAGTTGTTCCCTTTCCGTCAGCTGAAGGGAGAACTCGCTGCCAGAGATGGGGACAACCCAGAGGGAGTTCTTTGTCCGGAAAACATTTCTGAAAGCAGCACAAGGCTCCACACCAAGCCCACTGCCCCCCACAGAAGACTCAGCGGCGGGTTCCCCCCCAGCCACGGGGGAGATCAGTGTGGAATGGTCACTATAAACACCAAGATGAAATCCCTTGAGAAACCATTTCCCGCTTACTGCAAACCTCACCCCAGCAGAGCCTGACAAGCACCTCAACTGGGACCTGCATGTCTGTACTGGGGCTGCACAAGAGGCACCAGTGCCCAGAAGGGTCCGAGCCATCACCCCCCAAGATGAGTGTGAAGTTTCCTACCGACCTCCCTGCTCTAGGGATGGGATGGCAAAGCTGGGAGCAGCCACCCCCCCTCAGATCTCCCCTCTTCTCCACTGGGGGTGCCCACGCTCTTACGTAGCCAGTACAGTCTCCTTCTGGGCCAGGGACACTTAGGCACTTGGTTTGGAGAAGCAAACATTTATACCTCTCTGATGGCAGTAAGATAAGTTCTCCATAACCTCAGGCTTTCAGACTGAGACGCAAAGGATCACCCATTAAAGTACCCAAACAATTCCTCCTTCATCCAACTTCCTTTTCTTGGGAGACTTTACACTCCAAACAAATATAATACAAACAAGCATTATCCCAAATCTTTAAAGCCCAGAAAGATCCGACTTTTATATGCTCCAAATAGCACAGACTCACATGGCTTGGCTTTTTATTATCTTGTTAAAACTCTATTTCAGCCTATGGCAGGGTACCAAAGAGAATGGGGTTTTAGAGGCACTGCATGAAAGCAGATGAGAGATTAGCTTACCCTCTTTTGCATTTTTTGTAGACTTTATAAATGCTTTCTTCAGGAAGCCCATATTTTTCTGAAATCTGTGAGAGAAAACATGGCAATTCTTTGTACTTGTAAAATTAAATTCCTATAATAAAAGTCAAAGATAACACTGAGCCAGGGCTATTCAGCCCCAAAGGATTCCCCCCTCCCTTTTACTCGAGAGAAAAAAAGGGCTGAAGCAATGATCTGAACAGGACGATTTGAACATGTCTGTGTCCGGCCGTGGGCAGATGGACAGGCTGCAGCTTGGCCTTGGTTCTCTTTCTGGCGGCTACTGCCAGGCCAGGAACCTTGGGGAACAACCTTCATTTTTTTCTCTCATTCCCTGGCCTGTTTGGGCCTTGATGCATCAACCTGCTGGGCACAGAGAGCGCTGAGCTCTTCCTTTGCTGGTGCATCCAAAGGTGAGAGGAACCACAGAAAGCGTTGCTCTGCATCTGCTGTGGATGCACCCAACTGCAGCTTTTGCTTCGTTTTTACCCGAGCGGCAAAACTTCCCTGCCAGCCTCTCCTAGGCAAGCACGGTTACGGTCTGAGGATGACAGGAGTTTTGTAGCTTTTTCACAAGCATTTTCTTTAGAGGTTTGTAACTCTTTGTGGTGAAGGATGGGGGAAGGGAGAAGATGGCAAAGAATCCTCTGTGCTGACATTTTTCAAACTCTCTATTTTTAAAAGTTTGTAAAACCAACAGAGCTTAAAATGCAGCCATAAAGCAACCCCAAATCTGGGAGGTTTATTGTTTGTTTCCTTCCCAGCAATCTCCAAAGAGAGGGGGGTTATCAGAGATGCTGCTGATAATCATCACAGAAATATGTCTGTGTGCTCCTCAAACATAACCTAGGGAATTCCAGCATGAGGCCAGAACTGGCTTCAGATTGAACATCTGCAGCCTTGAGACGGGAAAGGGAGTTTTACAATGGAATAGATGAGTGTGTTGTCACAAGAGAAGACTTATATCATGATCTGAACAAAACATCTCACCATAAGGTGTGTTCTTCCCCGCTGCAGCACTAAACACACAACCCACGCCGGGAGCTGTGGGTAGAATTCACCTGCTACTCACAATTTCCATTTCCATTCTCAAGAGAAAGCAGACGTGAGATTTAAACAGTTTCCTATCCAGCTTCCTACATACCAAGGACCCTTGCCCCTTTTATCCGCAGTTTGTTCGTGTGCTGCAGTTTTTTGACAACACTTACAGCTGTCCTGAGGCCCTGGAGATCCGGTGTCTTCAGCATGAGAGCATCAAACACTTCCTCTGACTCCCTCCGCACGTACAACAGGACTGGAAGGGAGAGAGCAGAGCACTGCGTCAGGGCTCTCCACCACAGCACGTTCTCAGAGGGACGCGGCCTCGCGTGATTCAAGATCCGGGGTTACTTGAATCAAACGAGACACTACGTTCAGGAAGAGTTCCCATCCCAGGGGTTACCTCTCTGAGGATCTTCTTCCTTGGTTTGCTTTGGAGGTATCGGGTCAAACTCGTCTGTGAACGAAGCACCGCTCCGTTTTAAGGGCAGCCTAAGCCAAAGGAAAACAATACTCTCAAGAGGATGGAAGAGCAGCAGCCAACAAAACAATTCCAGCCACTGAACTTTGGATTGAACGATTACTCCAACAAACATCCAGCAATTAAATATTGGTTCTGTAATTACGGCACCAGAGCTGCAAGGTCCTGCCTAAGGCGTACAGGGAGCTCCGGGAGCGCGGGCAGTGGTTTTGGTATCACACCAGAAACAAAAGCCTTTTGCACCTTCACGCCATTGCTTCTCTATGGATATCACTAGACTATCGATATCACTAGGTCAAGCCTAGGGTAAACACTGGTTCTCCTCACTCTGCACATTACGAGTGTGATTTCTACTTCATTCCGGTTTCTTTTACAGCAGTATCTGCCTCTGGCCACTCGAACCCTTCAGCGATAGGTCTGAGGTTTTTTTTTTTCCTCCCCTCTTTCAAACACTGTCGCAATAAGAACAGCAGGACAGTCACGGAGCAGACTCTTGGCTCACTGGCAGGGAAGGAAACCTCTCTGTGTTTCTGCACCCCTTGAGTCCCTTCCAGGCCAAAGGGTGACGCATATTTTGACACTCAAGGGCACCAAGGAGACGCTGCTGTGTTATTTTGCACCTGTAGATGTACACTGCCTATGGATACCTAACGGCCATGACGTACGCAAAGAAACCGAGCAGCTGCTGGATGGGGAGTACAAACTGCTGCATCCTCACCTGTTTGCAGAGTTGGGAACAGCAGGAGGGAGCACCTTGAAACGGAAAGGAAACATCTGTTAGTTTGCACAGTAACACTGTGGGCCAATGGAGCTGGGGAGGGGAAGGCAACATGGGCACATTTTAAACATGGTTTCCCTCCTCCCACTGCTGCATTTCTCCTACACAAACCCAATCATCTGTATGTGCTTCTTCGACTAAGTGAAACCTGATATAAAGAACTTACCTAGATTCTCCTTCTCTGCCTAGAAGAGACCTGAACACATAATCTAGCTCGACTGAAACACAGGTCCTGTCTCACAACTTGCTTGGGATCAAGGCCCAAGTCTCTCAGGGAGTCCTTTGGTTCTAAACCAGATTCTTCTAGACCCTGTTTTGGATGCCGATGTATCCGTACGGCAGCAGCAATAGGATGTTACAGTAGCATCACAGGTGGCTTTTTCCCCCTTTCTGACAAACCAAGACAGTTGTTTCTTGAGGAAATATTGATGAGCTCTAAAGAAGGCTGGGTCTAGGTTTCCTCAGGCTCAAGGGGACAGAGAAGGGCAGAGGACAAGTGAGAGCTATCCCACACATGCAGGGACTGATTTGGTTGCATTTTTCTATAGTTTACTTTCTGCTGATATTTTTCCTCCCACTCCAGTCCTCTGTGGAAGCTGCAGATGATACCTGTAAACCACAGGAGCATCTGGCTGGAAGGAACCTGGAGAGGTTATCTTGCCCATCACTGCTGCATCACTATCTAGGCCACTCCTGACAGCTACGTCTTCTAGTTCACCACATTTCCACAGAAGAATTGTGGTTTGGTTTTGGTTTTTTACATAACACAAGTCATGTCTGGGGGACTGATCAGTTTGGAAATGATGGTGGTGACAGATGAGGGCAACAGGTTGGTTGTTTTTTGAAGGGACTTACCGTGCCACACCTCTGCAGGTTTGAAAAATGGACGTTGGGGATAAACAGGACTGGCTGGGTTTCGAGGTCAGTCTCTGGCCTCAGGAACGTGATTTCATTCCCTCTGAAGCCAGAGAGCAAACAGCCTTTCAGACCTACAGATGGAAAGTCCAGTTCATCTCAAGCTCAGACGGCAGTTTAAGAGGCAACAACATGCAGACAGGGGAAAGCACCTGCCCAACGTCTCCCAACAGAAATATTAAAAATCAGACGGGACCCTGCAGAGCCAGGTCTTCAGGGCTTGCCCAGTGCTGCCTCCCTTGGGGAAGGCTCCCTGCCAAGACCCCAGGACAATTCAGAAACTGGTTAGTATTAATAAAAGGCTTTGAGAGTCTTGGTAGGAGCCAAGGACCTGACTGACAAGGTATTTCTGAATGGTGCTGATCTCATCAGGCTTGGAAATACCCAGGGCCAGATCTTGTGGAAGTTAACGGACAAGCCTACATGGATTTCAACACGCTCCGGATCAGGTAACAAACACCAGCACTGACCATTGTTATTGGAGTCCAGGCATTTTCCTTTCCTCCTGAACTGTTTCCTTTCATCATCCCTCATTTTCCTCTCTGCTCCCTGTGGGGAAGATAAGGCAAGAATTAGGACATGTGACGGTTCTGACACTGAGGGTCCACTGGCCACCTCTGGGAGGTAAGCACATTAAGGTAAACGCAGCCTTTGTTCAAAAATGCTCATCTCAGACCTTCTACAAGCCATCCAGAACTTTCTGATACTTATAAATTAAAATGAAACCAAAATTTGCTTTTAAAAATAAAAAATGCTGACAAAAATAGCTGTGAGAAATTTTTCCGTGGGAAGATATCTGAGGCTGGGGGAGAACCTCTAAGGAGATTCTCATCTCTTCTGCTATTTACAAACTTGTCAAAAATAGAGTTTGTTATGAGGCAGAATCCCATGTAGGTCTGATATGGGGAAAACTTCCTAACGACTCTGCTCAACAAAGGCCTCAGCAGTGCAGACACATCCCCGCTGTCCTGTCTCACTGAGCGGAGGGGGTTAACCATCTCCATTCCTCAGCCCTGACCTCCAGGCTCTTCTAGATTCTCACCACCTTTCTGATCTTTCTCGTGGAGTCACTGGCCACCAGCTTAAAACTCCTCCTGGACAACCTGATGGAAAAGCAGTGTTCTACCTTATCACAAAATATCTTGATCTGGCAGACGGCGCGGTGCACCAGCTGGCTGGTTCCGTTGCCGTAGTCGTAAGTGTCTATCTGGAGGTTGAGGGGGACACCCTTCACTCCTTTCTGGGAGGAGAAGTCAGTGCTCAGGCAATTCACTCCAATAAACACCTGCAAATGGGAGCAGAGATCGATACAGCTTGTTGGTGCTGAAAACATTATTCTCAAACAGCAACGAGAGCCGTGGGTAAGATCAGAAGCAGCTACTGAGACACCCTTCCAACCCTTCCGCGTCAGCCAAGCACGTGAGCTGTTGGTTTCCCACCTGAGCACAACCACTGTCCTCCCGAGCCACGGTCTCCCCCACACCTACTGCAGCTCTCCATCTCCTCAGGAACACCCAGGCTACCCACTCATCAGCTCAGGCAAGTCTCAGACCAGATGCAAAGTCTGCCTGGGGTTGTTCTTGATGATATTTCTGACCTTTCATTTGAACGAGGGACCCTCAGACAGCAGGGCCCTGGAGGGAGGGAGGAGGGCTAGACTACAGCTTCAGGAATTACAAACCATTGCTGCCAGTTAAATAAATATTCATCACACACTGGTCTCCTTTATCACTAGGATGGAGTTAACTCCAGTGGAAACTTCTGTAAAAAAAAAGCTGAGCACAGGCATAATCCACATTGTCTCTCCAAATTACCAGCTCATTTTTGTGACCTTAAATTTTTTTCCTAGAGTCTGGAGGCAGAATTACAGCTGGAGAAGCTCCCACAGCAGGCCTTTGGCTGAAGATTTCAGCCCTGAAACCTAATGTCAGATCTAGTCAGTACCTATATATAGAAAAGAAAAACCACTTCGCTGTGGTGTGAAGTTTAATTGCAAGCAGAGCAGTAACAGGTGCTACAGACGACCCAAATACCTGACCCCTCCTGTCTCGGCTCCCAGCCCTCAGCAGCTCTCTGAAGTCTCACCTTTACCTGCCCCAGGCCAGCGCATGTACAGAGTTTCTGCTAAGAGTTAAATCCAGTTTTGCTGAGGTGCCCCCAAGGGCTTGCCACATACCTGACATATTTCCATTTCTGACAACTTTGCCTTGAAGACATTTGTTAACCTCTTGGGTTGTAAAAGACCAAGGTCGCCTTTGGGCTAAAAGAAGGGCTTATTGAGATCCCAAAGCAAACCAGAGTTTTCCCAAGCTACCAGCTTCGGAGAGATGGGGTATTTATGCTTTTCTTTTTTTTCTTAGTTACTTCATCTTTTTTTATACCTTCCTTCCAATCCACACTAGAAACAAAGTGTTAATGAGACACTCTGAAGAGAGGCAGAAGAGACATCAGAGCTGGAAAGATGTTAATATAAGCTTGATGGATTTTTAAGGTCAAAAGGGATCTTGTGACCTGCCTGGCTCCCTTCCACATCACACAAGCCACAGAAGGGTGGTCAGTCATTTCTGCATCAAAATGCTGCCCTGAAAGGAGGGTCTTTGTTCCCTAAGCTGCGGTTTATTTAAGTAGGCTTCACCTACATGTGAGTAGAGCCCTGAGCTAGGCTGCCCTGCTGCAAAAGGCTTTCTTCAGAGTTATCCATCAGCACTAAAAAAACATCTCTGAGCCAGTCTCAGGTGTACCCAGAGTGTTTATTAGCTAATGGCAACGCTTAAACACACAGAGAAACATGATGTCCTTCCCCACTGTCCTGGCAGACAAACACTACCTGGGGCCGCTGGAATGGCATTGTTTGGATTTAAAACTCTGTCTTAAATCTGAGAAGTGGGGGGAGCACGCCTGGGCTGTCGGAAAGGAGGGTACGGTTTTGCTGTGGACCAAGGCTTCCCCTATCCCTTCCACAAGCAGCTTGTACCTTTGCTTCTTCGTGGACGTTCCACACGAAGGACAGAGCGTTGTAGGCTAACTCCTCGATGTTCTGCACCGTGTTGAAGTTTTCTTTACAGTCAGCTGAAATGCAATCGGAGAAGCAGTTTATAATGGAGAAGCAAAACTGGTTACGTTCCCTAGGCTCTCCACTCCCCCAGAGGCTGGCTCTGACTCCAAGGCTAAAAGAAGCCTTGTAATAAAACGGAGGCCGTCCTCGATACCACCGGATCAACCTTCATGTGTGTATGTGAGGGATAGGCCAGAAATGACTCAAAACTATTGGCAGGTGATTGCTATTTGAGTAGTGATGTTATGCAAAGTCAAGGTAGATTGCTTCCAAATTCAAGCTGTGTGCCTCACTCTGAGCTCAGCTAGACAGACAAAACCTCCAGCCAAGCATAACACACTGTAGAGCCTGTGTGGTGGCAGTGGAGAGGACAAGCAGTAGCAAAGCCTTTTCTAGCTCAGATTCCTAGAATCCAGGAGGCCATGGGTCACATCTGTAAGAGAGAGAATTGTTGAGCAGCTTCTGTCTCTCAGACTGAGGCGGCTCTTTGATGTATCTTGGTCCCTACACTTGGGAAACACCATCTTAAACCTGCAAGAGCTCCTCAGCCAGAAAGGATCTGAAGTCAGCAGATCAGCCTGCTCCTCCCTGCTTTCCCCCAGGCCAGATTCTGGAGCTTCAACTCTCTTACTGTCTATTGGAAATGCAGTAAAACGGTGCTAGAAATGACCAGCCCCACCCAGCCATTGCAATCAGTCAGCCCCGCTCATACCAACATCAATGACCCTCTGCTTGGCCGTGGGCTGGCGGGAATGCCAGTGCTTCCAGAACTTGAGCTGCTCCGTCGGGATCTTTTCATTGTCAAAAACAATCATCACAACACTCTGTAACACAGCGACCATATCCCATATCAGTACACACAGCAGGGTAAGGCTTGCTGCCCTTCCCATCCAGTGCGTCCAGGCACTGGCCAAAGGCAGCTTAGTGTCACTGTTAGTGTTTTATAGCTGGGGAAACTGAGGCAGGTGAGGGAAGGGACTCGAACACGGGCAGGCAGGAGGCAGTGGCAGAGCCAGAAGCAAAACTGAGATGCCCTGTATGCCCCCTAATTGCCCTGCCCGTGCATTTCCGTTGGCACCAAGGCGTACAAGGATCCTGCACTGGAGGGACATTAGCAGTGCTGCAGCGAGTATTAGGCTGGGAGAGCCTAAATGGTCTTTTTCTAGATGTTCTTGGTTTCAGGAATCCTGTAAGTCTTGAGATGTCCAAAGGCTAGCCCTTAAATACCACCCAGGATTGGAGGACCAGGTTTCTTTGCTGGGAATTCAAGCTCAGTTTAGTCTCAGGGGTGGAGCAAGATGGGGAACCCCTCTCTAGCTCAGAAGTCTTCCCACCAGGGCCTCCAGCCAGCCGTTGGCTAGGGAGGCCTTTCGTGCATCCCCGACCTTACTGCGAAAGGTTTCAACTGCCAGGTAACATGCAGGCTGTTGCTGTGCATCAGAGGATTAGCTTGCTATGAGTGAATCCATCCCATTCATCGCTTTAAGCCAACATGAGCCACAAAGCCATTACTCTTCATGTTCAGCTCTGTTCCCAGGCCAGTACAATTGCTGGATGTCTGATTACAGCGTGTGTCAGCAAAATTGTCAGCTTGTCTCTTACCTTCACTTTATTTGAGGACAAGTGTAAACATTTGCTGTCTCCAGCTGTCCGCAGCGTGATGGGGTAGAACTGTCCTTTGTTGAGGTAGGCCATGGGAGAGTCCCCAGACTTGATGTGAATGGCTTTGGGTGACCCCAGAGTGTATTCAAAGTCACTTGTATGGAACAAAGAGAGAGCGGTGAATAAGTACACGCTGCCGTTTTACTCCAAAAGCAAAACAAGAGACGTACAAGTCCCTACCTCTACAGGTTACAGACACTGTACACACAGGAGTCTCTGCCCTGTTCCCCGTCTCACACGCCCCTACACCATCGAGCACCTCCAGCACATACTGATCCTCCCCAACACCCCGAGGAGCAGCAGTTCTCCGACAGCGTCATTTCACCCTTTGGTTTTGGATTAAAAAAAAAAACAACCCTGTACCTTATTGTAACTGGTATTTTTCTGCGGATGGCTACCAGAACCATTGCACAATCAAAAGCCTAAACCAAACCAAACAAAAATAGGTACCTGCGATGAGACTTTTACAACATCCTAAACTCAGATTCCTGTCTCCAAATTCACACCCATAAATGACTGACCCAGGAAGACTGTGTCCTAATGGGTTCTGTAGAAACAGGAGGACCTGGAGGACACTGACACCTGCTTGTTCCTCCAGGTGCTTAAAAATGGACTTAGAAGCCCGGCTTGTTCAACTCTCAGTCTGCTGGGCACTAACTTTAGTCTTTACAGAAAAGATTTCTAGCGTTACACAGAGGAAGGTGTCACTGTTGATAAATTTAAAAGAAGAGCCTGATTTTCAAGAAGCCCCGTTCTTGGGCATTCCCCAGCACCTATGAGCATTCAAACCACGAGGCCATAGCTCAAGCTGTTTTCTTCTGTGAGGAATCTGTGCAAGCCACCGCCTGTACACAAGCCTTCACACAGACCCTTCAAGTGCCCTGGAGTTGAAGATCATCGTACTCCTGTTTAGTCACCAACCCATCTCTTTTTCCTGCTCCACCTCCCCTGTGATGCCATCTCTGAAGATAGGCTTGGCAGCTCCTCTTATCTAGAGCCAGAGAACTTCAGTGCACAAGTAAACAGCAAACAGAGAGCCTCTCGCTCATGAACACGAGCTGCTGTCTGTGTGAAAATCCCCACGTCTGACAGCTGAGTCATGGAGTCAGGTGACTCAGGAGGCAAATAAAAAGTGGGAGGTGGAATAATGTTACCTACTCAGAGGTTTGGTGCGGTATCTAGAGCAGGAAAGCTCTGCCTGGGAGATGAGTGGAAAGGAGGAAGAAACCTCTCTCCTGTTTTAGGAATGAGAGGCAGTGACACCTTCAAAAAAATCAAGGTTGACTAACAGTGTTAAACCCAAAGTGAGAACCTAAACCTTAGATGAGGAGGCGGCTGCTTATCACCCTCATCAACCATCACCCTCATTTTCTCTGTCATTTATACCATTCCAAGTAGCTTGTGGAAAGATGGTGCAGCCACCTGGATCTATGTGTATCGCGGAACCAAGCAGCGCTCCCTGGGAAGGGGCTGTAGCGCACAGCAAAACCCTCCCGTGGAAGGCCTCAAGGCCACATTTCTGCCCGTGCAGGTCAAGGTGCTGATGAGGTATGGAAGTGCACAGCAGTGGAAGCAGGTGGCACTGGACTGACACCACTCTGGCCAACAGAGTACTGTCCGTACCCCACGGCGCTCTAGCTAAAAACACCAACTGGCACAAATGCGCCAAGGAACTTGAATTTAAGATTGGGTTTGACTCCTTCTCAGTAAAACACTTCAAACCCTAATCCCTGCTCCATGCTACGAACGCTAAAATTCATCACCACTTTGTGTCTAAAAACTCACGGAACAGCAACTTGCTCCTAAGACACAACCTGTCTCCGCAAAAACATGAGATCTGTAAGTTTGCAATGGTCATTGCCAAGACCGGCGCGGGGGCGAGGAAAGGGATGCAGTCTTTCTCCAGGAAAGGGACACAGCCAAGGGCACTGGAAACCCAGAGACCTTGGATTGGCAGTTACCTCTTGACACCGTCTGCAGCGTAACTCTCGGGGCAAGGCGGCTCTGGCTGGGGTTTGAGGATATCACTGAAGAGTAGCGACTGTAGACAAGTGGAAACAAAACAGTCAGAAGTAGAATCTTTCATTGCTTTGTCCATCCACCTTATCCCAGACATTATAACAGAAGTCACAGATAAAAGATGGACACCCTCATTTCAAAGCTTTATCCCGCTTCCAAACTCAATGCAAAATCCCAACAATTCAACGGGAATGGCATCAAGCTTCTAATGCAAAAGCAAAGCTCCCACTGACTCCAGCATGAGCAAACCCCAAACTAGAGACAGCCTCACGCAGTACCCCCCTGGCTGCACTGCCAGCACACAACCCACTAACAGCTCTGACCTCCTGGGGATCCTCTTTGAAAGTGCTGTCTGGCTGCCACCTCTGCTGTGGTGGGGCTACGGGGATGGTCTCGAAGAGGGAGTTCAACGAGCTGTTGTCGTATACATCCCCTGGAGGGACCATGAAGTTGTCTGGGGTGGCGTCCAGCTTGCTAGTGCCTGGTGGAAGCATGGCTGGCTTGTGAGGAGTAGGGACGCCTTCAAGACTTAAGCCGTTCTTCTTCTGTGGCTCACAATATTCTTGGGTCATGGAAACGTTTTCAGACAAGAGCTTCATGAGATGGGCTGAGCCATCAAAGGATGCGATCTCTGGGTCGTACTCCATTCCGTGGCAGTGCCTGGTGGAGAAAGGGTCCAGTCTCAAACCAGGGCAGAGCGTGGACAACCCCAGTAAGTTGTCACAGCAAGAAGCAAGTGCCTTGATGTGCTACTGGGGAGCAAACTGCAGAGTCTAGCTGCCAGGTGACCTTGAGTCAGCTGTGTACATCTCCTGCTTGATACGGGAGACCTGACAGGCCCATGGGTGATCTCCACCCATGCACACACCTCACAGTGCAACCAGCAAGAGCCAGAGGTGCTCAGCAGATAAGGGATCACCACACAGAACCAGTGAATATTGTTTAGACATGGTTTGGGGCTGCAGACCCAGGGCCTACATCCATTATTTCTTTATTTTGGCTATTAAACACTCCGAGCAGCAGGAACAATAGGAAAGATAACTGCTACGTGGTCTTTCAATCTTGGTCTTTTTAGGACACATTGACACTGAAAGTTGATCTTTTAAAACTGGCTCTTTTTTTTTGCCTTTTTGTTTTTTTTAAAGGAAAGCTGATTCTTGTACAAATTCACAAATTCCAGGAGCTTAAGAAGCAAAACCCCCAAAGAACACGAGATCAGTGAAAAACTGACAGGGCTGCAGTGTGGGAAGGGAGGAGTATGGCCCAGGCTGCAGAGCGGAAAATACTTAAGTATCGGAGCTATCAAGTGATAAAGACCCGCACAAAACCACACTGCCCTCGCACACGGAAACTATCCCTTTGTGCAGCACCCCAAGAACGAACTGGTCCCTTCCACAGCAGCGACTCTGTGACCCTGCTGACTCTGCAGCCCCAGCTGAGCTGGGAAAATGTGTTACCATGCGCAGAAAACAAACCAACCCCCACGTTAGCAACCCGCACACCTCTTGGCAGCATGAGCTACCCCCAAGGGAAGTAAAGCTGAGCGGGTAGCTCCCACCCATTCTGCTTCGAGAGCTTCACCTTCAGGTATATGCTGAAATTTCTATAGTTAATAAAAAAACCCAAAAAACATACCACTGTCCAGACTGCAGTGGCCTTTCGGAGAGAACAGCTTAACTCAGGTTACTTATGAAGAAGGAATCAAGTATCGTTCAAGAGGGTTATTCTGTCAAGTAGTTAGAAACAGACAACCTGAAAAGGTTGCCAAAGCACACAGCATCCAGGAAGGGGAACTGAACTCATAGTGGCAAACGAGCCATTAATTTAATAGTTAATTATCTGAAAACCTCAAAGACAAATGGGAGTCACTGGAAGAGAATCCTGGGAGACTGGAAGCAAGTGGAACAGAAACCCTTATCAGCCTAGGCAATGGAAGAGGACTTGGTCATTCCCTTCTTGCTGCCAACGCTTAATCCCTTTCCCCATTCCAGTTGTCACAAAGTAGGAAATACAAATTCTTCAGCTGCTACAAATCAGCGTAACTCCTCTGAACACAGCTAGACAGATCCTCAGTTGTGTAAATGGGTGTAGACCAATTTATACCTGCTTGGGATCTGGCCTAAAGAATTTTAATATATGTCTCAGGGTTAATAACCTCCACTGTTGTTGGTAATAACACTGTGCTTTGATGTCTATTTTATGCAAGCTAAGAGACCCATCATGCATGCAAGCAGCTGCAGGAGAATTAGACAGCTATAGAGAGCAAAAAAAATTAAGCTAACCTCTTTCCTAGTTCATTGCGTCCCATCATACCAGATGGAAGAATCCTCTTCTCCTTTGGGACCTAGAACGAGGCAGAACAAAGAGTTTGTTTATTGTTAGATTTTATTAATGGAAAGCAGAGGGAAAATTAGCCTTGTCTGTGTAGCAAGTGAAGTCTCATGGATAAAACACTGGGTGAATAATAAACACACTGTGAGGACACGGGAGACCTGGGCTCCTGCTGTGGATTCCCAAGGTGACCTTAGGCAAGCCACATCATCTTGTTCTGGGAAGGACTTTCAAAAGCAGCCCAGCGAATGGGAACATCAGTCCTATTGGTTTCATTAAGGGCTAAATCACATCCACATTTCTTGAAGCTCCATCCTAGAGCAGCACTGGAAAAATAAAGATGCTGGGATTTGCAAGGCACACAGCTCCTCCAGCTCCGTGTCTCTCAGAGCACTGCTGTTTCTTGTATGAAAACTGTCGGGTATAAAAAACCCACCAGCCTGAGACTTAAGACACCCAGGTTCAGTTTTCCACCCTGTTCTGGGTTGTCTCTACAGTAGGATGGCATTTTGTGCCTCAGTTTACCCTCTGTGCACTGGGGATAAGAGTGGCACTCTACGCCCAGGGGTGTTATGAGGATCACTGCATAAACAACACGGAGAGCTCAGTACCTGGGTACCCCCCTAAACTGCCTGGGCCCACATTTTACCTTCACGCTTCTCCTCTGGGACAGACACCCCCGAGACACCCAGCCCCAGCGGGAACGTACCATGTAGTAGTCATAGAGGAGGCTGAGGGCAGCCACGCTGTCATCATCTCCATTCACCCTCATCATAGCTTTGGTGGCCGCGGTCAAGGGGTTCTCTAGGTAGGTTTTCCAGGCTTCATCTTCATTGGTATAGGGGAATTTCTGGAAGTTCATGGTGTCATTCTTCATCAGACGCACAGATCTAAAACTGAGCCAGACAGAGGAAAGAGGGAATGAAGGATACTAATTTTCCACAGCAATTTCCACCAAGCTGAGCACGAAGGGCTTCCCGAAGGCGCTGCTGGAATGGAGAAGGGATGCTTTCCTGGGCCCTAACTCCCAGAGTCTTCAGGATTAACAATTCTTCAGCTCGTAGCTACGTACAAAATTCGGTCGGAGTCTCTGTGGCGGGGCCACGCAGAGAGGCAGATGTACCTCTGTTTCCCTCCTCCTGCCCCAGGATGCAAAACACCACAACCTCATTGCAACCGCTCCTTCCTCAGCACGCTCGCGCAGCCAGCCAGCCAGATCACGCACCGCCAGGGTGGGATGTCGGTCAGTAACCCGCGTGCAACGTGATCGGGAAAACTCCAAAATTTTTCCTTGAATTTGGAGCTAAAGGCCACAAATATCATGCAGAGTTCAGAGATCTTGACCAGATGAAACCAAACCCCATCATTATTCTTTGCTGTACTTCATGGCTTTTAAATTTAGTTCCAACCTAACTTTCCCCCCCCCCCCCC